TTAACCACAGATGTCTTAGAAATATCGCTCGCATCTGCTGGGATCACCAGATAAGTAATAGTGAGGTTAGACGCAGGGTATTAGGGAATGATGGTGAATCAGTTGATGAGGTTGTAAATCTGCATCGACTGAGATAGTTGGCCCACATGTTACGTATGCCTGGACACCGTTTACCACGATGCACAATGCTGAGCAGTGTTGGAGACGGCTGGAAGAATGTTCGGGGCGACCAAACCAAAACATGGCATCAGTGCTTGAAGTCACTACCTTCTAGTCTGAGTCATGTTGGTAGATGCCCACTGTTTGATTGGGGTCTGCGTGACTATCGTAACCAGTGGTTGGAGACTCTGGGTGACATGGTTCACACTCTTTGTCTTTCCTTAAACCGTGAGATTAAAATTACTTTATACATTTTTTTCTAATTCTTTCTTCCTATACTATATCTTCATATACAATCTTTCTTTTATATATTACTACCGTTGAAGTAACTACTTCTATGAACTTAGTGTTCACTTTGTTGTGCTAATGAGGTATGGCAACTTGGACCGATGCATACATGTGCCTGGTCCTACGTTGTAGATGACTGACTGGTTGATTAAATCTTACATATCTACTAGATTTACTAATTGTGTAGAATTTATAACACGTAAACAATAGTAAATCCCATTTTTTTAGTTTAAGTTTCATCTCAAGTGCTTCATTTTTTTCTTACATTGATATATTTGAGACTTTCGTTCTTCTATCAACTCCTAGGGAGACAAAGCTGACTGGGAATGCTCAGATGTATAAAAATCTTCGTACGGATACTTTGCAAGCCAGACTATCTAATGATTCAAATGCAGATAATCAAAGTGAAAATTCACTAGTTAGTGAAGGGTTAATAACACCAGTTGGACCAGCAGCAGCTGCCGCAATCGCCTCATCGCTTTATGGATCTGGTGAGATAATTTTTATGAACTCATTCAATGTAATAAGTTTTAGATGTACAAAATTAATCAAGTCAAGAAAGAAATGGATAGTATTTGATCAGTACCTTGTGAAATTAAAAAATACTTGTTATGTACTTGGACAGAACGAGTAAAGTGGTAAATAATTCTATAAGCATTCAGAAGCATATTTGACACATGAACAGCCGATTAACGGTGGTCTTATTACCATGTCAGTCGAATATATGATTTTAGATATCTTAAAGAATTTTCTCAGTAGTACTTGGTATGCGCTAGCCGTGGTCCTGACAAAATTTGCTGAAAGACTCTTTCGATTATTATATGAAAATAACAATTCGATTATTTGTATTTCATTAATGCTGTACAACACAAGTGTTGATATGGCTAGCATTAGCTAATCTAGTAAGTGTTTTAACGAAAGTGCTCTCTCGTTTAGACAATTTTAGAAAGCTTTCGGGTTCCAATATAGATATAGTTCTAAGCAATATATGAATAGTAATCAGTTTTACATAAAATTTTGAGTTTATTACCGCTTCTATATACTGATTATACAAATCATGTACATGATCCTAATAATGAAAGCCTAAAACCGTTCAATCAGCAGCAAGCAAAAATTAACCCATAACTGAGGATCGTAGTTAGTACATTAACTTCATTCTATTATTATATTTCATCATACTAAAAACCAGATTATATATGGTACTTTGTAATTTTTCGAATTATCTGTTTCATCACTACTTAGGTGCTCCATATCTACATGCACGAGTACGAGCCCGGCAAGAATTAGCCTCCCTAGTCAAAATACCAGCACCCAAGCTGAATTCACGTGAAAAGCTAACCGAAATTGACTTTGCATTCGTACCAGAAGTAAGCGGTGCCGACGATAAAAAATCACCGATTCAACAGAAATCCAAGTACCAATCGAATCAGACTAAAGTAGAGCATAAAGTTACAGGGAATTTTATGTTGAAACTCGAAGACTTAGAAGAAAAATCTCCAGATGAAAAGGATCAGCTGAGGGATATTACAAAATCACTAATAACAACATCGATTGTGGTTGGTACAACCAACATTCCAACTACCAAAACGACAACATTAGCAGAAGCTCCAAGGGTGGTACAAATGACTGGGGATAAAATTAGTTCAATGATTTCGGGAAAATCTAAAGTTAATTACGTCTGATATACATTTATCTTTTTTTGAAATAAGATTCACTAAAAATTCATAAAACTAAGTAAGACTCACGAATGTCTTGTTTTTTAATGTGAGTAAACTATCAAGAAGTGAGCATCTAGTATTTTCTTTAACATAATTAGATTTCTAAGCACTACTTCCGTTTCCTTTCTTTTTTGGATTTCCCCAGTTGATATTTTCATAAGAGTAATATTTAACCATTACTATCATATTCGCTTCCTTCTTGTCTGTGATTAGAATTGAGAAAAATACACAGAATCTTAATGACGATTCTAAATTTCGTTCACATCGACTTATTGGTTTCCGAGCTTAATTTTCTAGATTTAACGTGCATACTAGTTCAGACATGAAAAGAAACATGAAACCACTCAGCTACTTTTAATATATTCCTTCTACCTAATAACCTACTTTAAGATTAACTACTGTGACTAATCATTCGTTTGAGATCTTTTGTACACAAAGTGACAACCCTTCTTTGACCATTATTTCATTGGATGTAATCAGTACATAATTGAATAGATTCGAATATGAACTAATCGCCTTAAGAATAATTTCGTAAACTCGTTACCACCAATGAAGTACTTACCTATGTACTTGTATCAAGTGTAAGTGAATAAGCTTCCATCAAATAGTAATTCGGGGGAACTAAGCTGGTTTTAGGTATCAGGATGAACGTGTAGACCAAATGTTCTCCCTTCAACAGGCCCTGGAACACGAATATACCTACATACTCCCAGCTTTAGTTGTACTTCTTGATCTTAAGGTAGCATCTGATCCCGTAGATAGGCGGATTTTAAGGCATTGTCTATCACTGAAAGATGCATCAAAGAGTTACATCAACATTGGACAGGTTCTCTACTCGGAAGCTACTGGGGTCAAAGCTTATGCCGAACTGCCAGGGAGATTGATAATTCAAAATGTTCATCAGAAGTGTTCCACCTAACTTTTCCAGACATTTTAGAGACTACACTCATTCCCTTATTTATCAAGAACCGGTCTCCTATCAGGTGATTTACTTGCTGACTCCAAATAAGCAGATGAAGATGGTATTAAGACAGTGTTCTAACCGCCTTAAACAACAATCCTAGCATATATGGGGTGATTTCTTTCTGAATGCAGGAGCTTGCTTCAGGACCGGTCTAGGTCAGCGCCTAAATTACTGATGACAAAAATAAATGAGTCAGTTACTTCACTTATTTTGTAAACCTTGTCAGCTCTGGTGGGTTGGTTTGACAAAGTCTCGACACTGATTTAGAAGGCTCAGTTGGCGTTTGTCAGCTTGCATCACTTGTCGGATAAGCAATATGTCTGTCTATCAGCTGAAGGACGAGTGTACTGAGCAGCAGTTCGCTCAATCTTACGCATGACTGACTGACTGAGACAGTATATACTGAGGATCAGTGTGGTATATCAAAATTGACAAACAGACTGAGTAATCATGCCACTTTCGTTTACAAAGTCTGAAGTGGTAATTGGAATTATCAGTAAATGAGTGTTAATAATCCCAAGTACCACACCTGAGGACCGAGACCCTTGTTCTCATCAGTGGCTTTTCCAATTCTTGTTATTCACGGCCTTAAATACATGACCAACTAATTAATATAGTGACAATGAAAATCTGTGGTAACATGGATGATCTCAAGCTAAGTGTGGGCAACCGAGCAAACGTCGAGTACTCTACACCATATTATATTTGTTACACTTTAATACTAATACGGTTGTAAGCAGCTAATGAAAAACTAAGGAATAAAACAAATCTACGTTACGCCTCAATTGTCGTTTCTGCTTTATTTGAATTTATGAAGGGAACCACCTGTTTGAAATGTGAAGTAATCAGACAGTCATGCTGATTAAATAAAAAAAACGTAGCGACCGCATGCGGAATGAACGATGCGAAAGAAGCCTTTAAATGGTTAGAATTGACAATAAAATAGACAACAGCACTAAAACGTTTACAGCAGTCACATCTGTTTAGAATCGTAACTATCATTACTTACTAATTTATGAAAAAGGGATTTTACTTCTCGATGTCCGAGTGAAGACAAGGTAGCTCGAAGTAATCTTGAATCTGAAACTTGACCATCTACATGATATTACAGAGTATGACAAGGTATTTTATTCATACCTTTAGCTGTTAGTAGTAGGACACTATGCACACAGTGGGTAAGTAGCTGCTACTATAAGAGCTCACCACCCTTATAAAATGAACATGCCACGTTAAAAACAATCCCACGGACATTATAGTAATCAGCTTAATAATTAGAATGAAATGTGGTCGAGTGTGACCATAAAGTAAATTGATAATTTTAAAAGCAATAAATAGCATAGAGATCCGTAAAAAAAAACTGTAAACACAATACATACGAAGTACATAAATAAATATAAACAAAAAGCATAATTATAGAAAGCGTATGTATAAAAGAACTGGAATAAAACAAAATTACTTTCAATACCTAATCAAGGAAGGTTATTTGAACTATCAATGACGTGACATATACGCCAGTGCATAAATAGTTGCTGACATAAGAAGAAAAGCAATTCCAAAGTTAGTGTGGAATGAACGAAACGTAAGTTGGGAAGGATGATAAAAATCCTGCACTTAATATTACTATGAAGAAGTGAAAACTTCGCATAACTGGGTGGTAAATTACTGAGATTTGTGTGATGAGGGACGAAGGATTTGTACTAATGTGCTATCCAGTAGTTAAATGCAAAGGACGAGACAAACGGGAATCGAGACTATAAAATTGACTGGGCGAGCCTCATCAGAAATGCATTGAGTTGTTAAAACTAGGCCAGCACTAAAAATAATTCTAGCTACACGCGAAACGTGAATGAGATGCGTGAGTAGAATGAAATTCAGTACTGGACAAATAGTGAGGTTCAAAAAAAGGAAGCGGCTTAGGACATACATTCAGATGTGATAAATTAGACGTCATCTTCGGTCCTGGAGAGTGTGAAATTATTAAATGAGACAACGGAATAGATTGATCTATTACTCCGCGACCACAGTTTTCAAATACTGAGGAGTGGACAGTAGTGCGTGTGGATTCGTGTCCCGCTGTTGGAAGTAGCATAGCAACTGTTGGACCAGACAGGCAACGATGTCTCAAGTAATTCGACCGATATTTGTGACACCGACTGAGATCCGACTGACAAGCACCTACAAAGGTAAATAAATAATTGTATTAACATTTTTCATGACACTTTATGGGAAGTCTCCGTCACGACAACTGATTAGCCTGAGGAAATATGATAAACCGGAGAATTACGAGTAGAAAAACGATGTCTGGAAATCGACATACTAATTAATGCGACATTCCTGTCTCACCAAGCAAGGATGGAACTTTGTTTCCTGGGGTCTGAAGGCTGAATAATAAAATAGGAAAACGAAAGTACAAATAAGTCTCGACAGCCTGTCGCTCAGTAAACATCCTATTATATATATATATATCATCCACTGAAAACATGTGGTGTTTTTTAGGAGCTCGTTCGAACAAAAGCCCATATCTACCCGAAGTTGTAAAACATCAAATTGTTAACACAAGGCATCACCCAGAGGTGCATGGTTTCGGGACCAGGATAACAAAACAAAATGAAAGGTTAAGTCGTGTCTCGACATAAGGGAAACACATTTAATCGAAAGGAACTACCAACACATAGTTTCAGCAAAGAATCATAACTAAACAGGTTCAACAGGTCAGATGGAATGGCTTACCCTTATCCAAGTGAAAGTCGAGCACACCAACCTAGATGACTACTGATTTGCTCAATATATAGCGCTTACCATACTAGAAACCACATCAAAGGACTTTGATAGGTACCATTACCAAGGTTTGATTTGATAATTTCGAATAAATTGGGCATTGGGTTGATTGTTATAAATAAAAATAATATATTTGTAATATCCTAATGAGTAGAAAATTAGATTTCCTGACGTTTCATGACTTAGTGTAAGTCACTTCTTCAGAGAATAAATAACCAAATTAATTTGGTTTTTATTTATAGGACTTGGACGTTCAGGTACATTTAGGTTGTCAGTCCAGCGATAGCAAGTGTCATGGTAGGCTTAGTAAGAATGGATTAAACCAAGCAGATTACTGACTTTAACCAAGCTAAAAATCAACTTGTAAAAGCCAGAAATATAATCGACTCTGCCTGACAGTAGCGTATTTATAAGTTTGGGCAAGACTATAATTTATGGACGAATCAATGTTTTAAGACTAGTCATGGCTTTTAGAGTGGAACTTGTACATCCATTCGGCCAAATAGCATTTTGTCATTATAACAGATGTCACCCCGTAATTAAAACCCTAAATCTAACCCTTAACCATAACGCCCAACCGTGAATTCTAATCCTGATCTCCCGCACTATTTTATATCCATCATTTGATACCAGTATACTGGTGTGGATATTTTTAAAGTCACTTCAGCGTTGCCCAAAGGACGTCCATAAATTGTAGTTTCATGGCCTTTTGATACCCAGCTTACTTTGACTTCGTCATCCTATAAAGACAATATCAGAAACACTATGCATACATGTAGCGGAAACGACAACCACTAATCGCACATCGCTAGTGAAAAAGTAGTAAAACGATAATGCCGAAACATTTAAAGTACATCCAATGAGGCTCAACCTTATAAAATCTAAACTTACATGAATACACCGAGTAAGGATACATTTTTAGAGTGGAATTGCCAGAATTGGTGGTCACAGTGCATGGAACTATATTGTGTTTGCCAATAAATGCAGGAAAAACATGTGACCAGTCTGGAGTTTTCATAGTGGCTAGGAGACAAGTATCCTGAGCGATTTTACGGCCGTACTGGAGCTTTACATACTCCCGTTCTGAAATGCAAGGGCTATCAAAACCATCCAATTGTCGACGCATCGTAGATAACTGACAAGTATGTAGCCAATATGAAAATCAACAACAAGTATGGCGATTGGTAGTCGGCGAACTCAGCTCATTTCTGAAGGAAATACAAGTAGACATTCTCGCCCCACCAATTCGAGCGGGGGCATACGAAATACAAATTTCAACAACTAGAACACAGTATACAACATGATTTGTGGTATGTTAAAAGTCTAGGTTGTCATTTGAGACTTATTTGCGGACAAAAAAAATTATTACGATCTTTATTTATGATGCGTGATAACATTTCGTAGTTGCTTTCACGTAAACTAGTCATATATTCTGTCACTGCCGTCAAGTTTTAGTCGAAATCATGTACATTTATGACTCGTTAGTCGACATACTGTGGTAAAACATATTGCATGTACACGAGCACGCTTAGTCCATGTCCCAAGTACACACGTTGTCGTACTTAATATGTCACTTAACGCTGGGTAATAAGCTCTTTGTATCAGCCTTTTACGAAATGGGCATGTTACCTGAACCCTCTAAACTTTAGTTACATTGGTGGTTACCATTTTAATTAATGTTTATTATACCCCTTGTATTTGCTATTAATTCACGCGGTAAATCATGGCTCGATTTCCTTATTACACGACAGTCATTTCAATTCTATTTTCGGTTTATTTACATGCGATACGGGTTTGGAAAATATCTAAACGTCCTCAAAAATTCTCCACGAACCCAACCATAGTTTTCGTATATGTTTTTATTCACACATCCAACTGTTACGCTAATCATACCTAAGCGAACGTTCAGTGCAACTGTCAGTATACGTAAGAACGATGTTATTTAGACTTGACATTGTAACACATCTGAATTATTGTAGTTGTTCTACTTCGATGTCGTACTTCATTTTATGAAGTACTGTTTCCTCGTGGCTGTTATTTAACAGATGATTCCGGTACATCAATCGACTGTTCAACTACTCGACGATTTACAACCTGTTCAGTTCAATTGGTGGTCTGACGACAATATCATTCGCGCGACTCATCAGTTTATGCAGTCGAGTGAATCTCCTGCAAACTGAAAGCGATATTGTCGCCTCTATCCCAACACTGACAGCGTTTTTCGCGGGTATCATTGACATGAGTCCAGAGTGACACTCTTGGTTTCTTATGTTCTTTTCGATATTTTTCTGTTCACTAACCGAACAAACACGCAGCATTCACCGTTTATCATCTTTTAGAGACTTCATCGTGCCACCTTTGCTGTGGATTTGTAGCCTTCAACCCTTACTGACTGTAACAGCAGTCATCGACTTTTCAAACTGTGACTACAAGTTGGTCAATAGCTTCGCACAACGAAATCACGACCACTCTTCACTGTTATACTTCTGTACTTACGGTTAGTCTGTTAGATATAGATATAACTAGAATTCGACACTAATTAATAGTTGTCAACGACACTGTCCGACTTACAACTTTATGATATTCACAGAGATACATCAGTTGACTTGTAATAACTGCATATTTCTAGTATACTTACTACTCGAAACCTGACCAGTTTCAAATGGTTCAAATTCAAATGGTTGTGGACGGAATAAACGAAGCTTTCGCTTAACGGGCTTTCGTGTCTAACCGCAGTGGATCAACAATACCTCCAGGCACGAACCTAGGTATATTAACGATAAAAGAAGAAAAAGAAGTTGGTAAATCATAGTAAGATACTATCCTTAGTCCTTAAGAATATACCAAGTTTCCTCTGAAGGGACTCCTGGGGAGTCACTTGGACTAGCTCAGCCGGCAGCGAATTTCAGCATTTGATAACTCACAAGGAGTTTAAGTTGTGTATACAGTCAGTTCTGCTGTGTTGTGTCTCCAGTTTCTGAGTATTACCCTTGAGGTTTGTGTTGGAGCTAAACTTAAGTATGTGTGTAAGGAGCTGTCCAGAAGTGTTAAAGATGCTGCAAGTCATTAGAAGGTCACCTCTAAGAAGCCTGTACTCTAATGGCTAAAGGTTTAGTGATTGGAGGCGCTCTTCCGAAGGCTTGAATTTGGGTCCCCGAACTGATTTTACAGCTCACCGTTGGATACGTCCCAGAGTGTCCTTGTCCTTTCGGAGTGAAGGAGGAAATATTATGTTTCCGTACTCTAAATGGGGTCGAATGAAGCTGCTGAAGATTATGCGGAAAGTTCATCCGTCGAACTGACCAAAAATGTGCCTCAGTGTTATCAGTGCAAGGTTTGCTCGAAAGGAATTTTTATCACAGCGTAAGACTTCAGATAGTAGGGTACCAACACTCCTAAATATTTTCAACTTGGGATACTTCTAGAGAGGAGTTTCTTAAGCTGTAACTGTAGTCTTTAACATGTCTCAGATGGACTACTTTAGACCTTGAAGTGTTAAATGTGAGTCCGTTGTCATCTGCCCAACTTTGAAGTTGAGTTTAGTACTTAGCATTGAAAATCTATTGATTTGTTCACTTAGGCAAACTATCTCTCACACAAGCTTTTTAATCAATTTTAATAACTCAACTAAAGCCCTTGTAGCGGTAAATAAATCCCCAAAATAAATAGCTCTGTAAGTTTTCGACATTGGATGCTAACCAGATTAGTTTTAGTGGACTCATCTAGCTGAAGGCGCTCGGTCATGCATCCGTACCAGATAACGTGTGGGAACGCCGTGCTCAACATCTACTGCAATCGTTAGCCAGACTAGATCAGATAATTCCGATATATTGGCAATCGTCAAATACAACTGTTGATCTCCTCGATTCTGTCTTTTGATTTTTCTTGGTGGGTACGAGTTGTAATAGGTGTTACTGGTTAAAGCGTTGTCAAACACTGAATACCTGTGCCATCTTCACCCTTCACATTCGCTGTCTGTCAACACGGAATTCATCCTGGCGAGAGAAAAAAATAAATTTTTCTACCCTCCCACTAGTCTAAGGAAGCAAGTGTTAGACATTCATTATAAGATCCTTTTAAAATTCGATCCTTAAAAGCCCATCTATATCTATTTAAGTCACTAGGAGACAAAGAACAGCATAAACTTAACTTATTATCTAGTAACTCTCGTGAGATTGTGTTTTATGCGCTGGTGTCAAAAAAATCTGGATGACTTATTGTCTGATTCATGAGTGATGAGAAGCTGCACGATGGCTTTGTGAAGAACAGAAGAAATTAAATTTCACCCACCTGTGTGGTGCCATGGAATACATTTGTAGGGTCATTAATATGTCACTCAGCCTTAGCCAAACCATCAAGCAGTCGGGTCACTGAATATCAAACAGTTAGCCAATCGTCGGCGAAATCTGTAGTGACTCACGTTTATCACGAGAACACGACTGGTTTAATAAAAACAATTATTATTATAACCAACTGTACCAGTGTTTGTTTTAACGTGCTTTTGTTTGACTGTGCTAATGACAGCTATTTTGTGCTTCCATTCTTTCGCTTACACTTCGATTGTAACTTCGCGCGAATTCGGTTACCTTCTGTAACCAAGGTTGTATCCTGGCACGATCTCGGTATCCTTTCGATGCCACGAGATCGCCAGCTAATAAACCTCGACTTGGTCCATTAACTGTCTTCTGATATTTGGCTTCACGGGGATTTTATGGATCTATTTGGTTACGTCCAACCCTCGCCTTCTGATTTATCTGGCACGTGTTTCTTGGTAGCGGTGTTCACAGTTAATTTCAACTCGACGACACGCTACAATTGGTAATCCCAATTCGAATACAATTGGTGACCCGTATTTTGGAACACGCCTCAACTTCTGATCAAATCTTCTAAAGAAGCCAATTCTGTGAGTCTATGATTTATCTATCCACGTCTGTCGTATATTTTCATATTTTTTAATATATAATATACGCGACATGACGGATAACGATAAGAATAGTATTAATATAATAGACTCACACGTATGTGTACTGAATCCTTGTCACTTTTTATTCGCGTGATGATGAATTCCACGCTTTATTCGAGAAATGTTACCCTATTAACGATTCTCCTCGCTGACCCGGCTGCTTGGTACGGAATGCATACGCATAAGCATATCCGTCTACCACCCAGCACCAAATGGTTAAGTTGAACGGTTTCACTGCCAACTTAAAAGTGTTCTACGAGCACACGAAAACCGCAACTGGCACGAAACCTTACCGCTCGTTCTTTTAGGGGTGAGAACGAGCTTAAAGGCAGATATCCAGTGTTCCGCCACTGAACTTGTATACGGCACGACATTGCGTCTGCCCGGAGAATTCTTCACACCACGGAGCAGACCTAATTTCGGTAAATCAGACTACGTCCATCGACTGTCTGCATTTATACGAACGCTGTCTCCGGTGTCAACTCGAATACAACATCGACAGGTCGCTCTCCCTCGAGAGTTATCTACCTGTTCACATGTTTTTGTACGAGTAGATTCGGTACGCAAACCTTGGCAACAACCTTACGAAGGCCCTTTTCACGTGATCGCTCGTCACGAAAAGACCTTCAAGGTTGATCGATATGGACGCGTCGAGATCGTCAGCATTGATCGTCTCAAACCAGCACACGTCGATGACAGTGCCCTATCTGACACCCTGAGATTCAATGCTAGACCTATCAAACCTAGCGGGATCCTTAAATCTTCTTCAGGTCCCACGCTAGATACATCTGAGACCTCATTCTCACGTCCCAGTCAACAGCACGCGTCATCTGCACCGACTACGGACGAGACGACAGTCTCACGTCCAGATCAGCAGACCACGCCGCCTCTGACCTCGGATGAGATTGCAGGCTCACGCGATACGAACGAGACTGTCGTCTCACGTTCCGGTCGCCGAGTACGGTTGCCCGTACGCTTCCGCGACTAGTCGCACAGTCAACAACCGATACGGTGTAGGGTTATTCTATGCTACATGCATGCTACACTCCTCTTTTTTTGATTTTCTTTTTGTTTCCTGAGCCCACGCCTTCGACCATCTCCGTTTGGTTCCGTCGACTTCAGTCAACTTTGGCGAAAGCTGGATTGGCCACCCACGCTCTTGT